ACGTCTCCTTCGCGAAAAGTTTCTCCTCGGGCTCTTCGACAACCCCTTCGTCGATCCCGAGGCCGCAACGAGAGTTGTTGGCAACGACTACTTCCTCCGGCTGGGCAATGATGCCCAGCGCAGAGCCTATACTCTTCTCACGAACAAGGATGAGCTCCTCCCTCTAAAACACATCAGCGCAGAAACTAAATTTTACATCGAGGGTTTCAACGCCACGTTCCTCGAGGCACGCAACCTCTCGGTCGTTGAGACACCGGAAGAGGCGGACTACGCCCTGCTCCGCCTCGATGCCCCCTACGAGCCTCGTCCAGGCGGCTTCGAAGCAGCTTACCATGCCGGCTCGCTCGAGTACTCGGACGAGGAGAAGGCGCGCCAGGCCGCGATCTATGCGGCCGTGCCCACCGTCGTCGACGTGATCCTAGACCGTCCTGCTGCGATACCCGAGGTGTTTGACGCCGCTTCTGCGGTGCTGGGCAGCTATGGGAGCGGTAGCGAAGCTTTCTTGGATGTGATCTTCGGATTGAGCAACCCCGAGGGCAAGTTGCCTTTTGATCTCCCGCGATCACAGCAGGCTGTGGAAGATGCGATGGAGGATGTGCCGTATGATACGGTGGATCCTGTATTCAGGTTTGGCCATGGGCTGCGCTATGCCGACAAGTGTTCGTTGTGATGGCGAGCGATATGTGGCTCGACTCTCGGTGTCTTTTGTCAGCGAGTAGTAGCGAGATTTACCAGGAATAAGGGATGTGAGAGGAGCAGTAGTCATGACTATAATGATTGATGAGACCGGACTTCTGGGAAAGTATGTTTGGATGGTCGCATTCACGCATGAAGATTAATGTTAAATGTGCTATTGAACAATGAAAATGGGGAATCTTTGATTTTTCTATACCAATTCAAGTCTATCATCAACATCCTTCGCTGCCTCAATGCTCCTCTTCAATACGCTGGTCTCCGATCCGCTGAGCTCTCTCGCGTTCATACCAACCATGCAGCTCATATCCTTCTTCCTTGCCCCCTTCACCCATTGCTGGTCAATCATCCAGTGTGTCGGCACCGCAAACTCGTTCGGGTCGTCCATCTTGTTCTTCAAGAGCCCGCCGTTATACCACAACAAGTTATCCACCTCGTCCACGTGCGCAATCACGAAGCTGCACACCTGCGTCATCTCAGTCTGCACTCCGCTAAACGGCTTCCGCCAGCCGACCATACCGCCATAGTGTCGCGAGAAGCTGTACGTCGAGCCCGTGGCCTCGAGGCCGATCCAGTACGTCTCCTTGTCGCCGTACGTGATCCTGTACGTCCACGAGTTGCGCACGGCGTGCGTGTTCTGCCACGCCGTGTGTAGTAAGCCCATGAGCACGTTCAGACGGCCCTTGTTGAGCACCACGATGCCAGAGTCGCCTTCCTCGGCGTACTTTTCCGTCCACACGAGCGACTTTTGCAGCTCCTCGCTTGGGTGTTTGATCATATCGTGGAACCATTCGTGTCTCTCGGGGAACTGATCTTTCCAGAGCAGTCGGTCATGGAAGAGAAGCGCACCCTTTTCTTGGTAATTGCGCTGTTGGAAGAGCTGCTCGGGTTTCTGCAGGAAGACGACATCCGCATCCAGGAGAATGACTTCCTCGAATCGGCTGCCGAGTGCGGCAAACGGCTTAATCGCCCATCCTCCCTCGGCCAACTTCAATGTCGTGTCGTTGAAGACGGTCAAGATGTCCAAAAATTCAATGCGTCCGCCATCGCCCTCGGCAGCTTGCACAAGCGTGTCGCGGTCCTCCTCAGATAAATCCTCTTCGCCGGCGTAAACAATCTGAATGGGCAGCGTAGTCTGCAAAACGCGCGTCAAGGACGCAACCAAATGACACGCAAATCGCAGCGTGCCGTGTCCCGTCGGAATGACGATACCGGCATTTCTCGGCACGTACTCCGGCTTCTCTTTGCCGGACCCGGCGGCGCCCAATTGCTGTGCCGGGGCCCGCGGGGGCGCACGATCAGCGGCAGCGGCCCCCATAAACCTTCGCCTGAGATCGGCCAGAGGCGTCTGGCTGTGGATGTCCCTCGGCGGAGATTGCAAATAAGGGAACAGGGATGCGGCGACTCGCTCGACCTGGGCGTCGAGAAACTGTCTCTCGGCCCCCACAACCCGCAGGCCGTCGGTGCGGCCGCCCTCCTTCTCCTCGAGCGCCTCGATCCACGAGCGCAGCACCTTTGTGCGCTCACCCAGCTCTCCAAACACTTTCTTGTATGGCGGGCCGAGGGGGTAGTCGACGAAATATTGTGCCGTCGCGTTGATGGCGTCGAGGTTGAGACCGGACGTTTTTGAGGTGCGGAAGCTGAAATTGGCTGATGTGAAAGGTGTTATCGCGCCGTGGAATCGGAGAAGGTAGACGACGCAGAGGGTGACGAAGGCCGCGCCGGCGATGATTGGCGTCGACTGACCGCCGTATCGCGGTGATACTAGGAGACGAACCATCCTTAAGGCCCTTTCACATTCCCTTCTTCTTCTCTCTCAAAGTCGTATCAATTTGTCGATTCTTTTTTGCAGCAAAAAAGCTCGCAATGGAACTCGGAAACTGAGTCTTCTCCCCGCGTCTCGACTGCCTGGGCCGGCGACCTTTTAAACAGCCAAGACCTTCAAGCTGTGCTTCCATTTTTGGGGTGTTGGGACCGGTGCTAGCCCAAAGCTTATTATGCCGATGTTCCTTACTCCCGCGTCAACCCAGACTCAGCTTAATCTATCTGACTGGCAACACTTGCGCAGCTTCCACCCCGGCTCGCGTGTTCCGAGATCAGTGATATCTGCGTCCCGTCCGCCAGTCACAGGTGAAGACGCAAGATGATGCCAGCGGCGGCCAAACCAACAAGCATAGCCCATCCCTTTTGTCGTTAGGACCAACGGCGGGTGGGCAGGGCACACAGGGCCACGCCAGCAGGTCTCAGCCGTTGGAACTCGACTCGTCGTCCCATTGCGAATCCCTCTAGGGCTGGGCTTTCCAGCGTGCAGGGCTTGGAGGGGACAGGTCCAGGGACGCCCCTGGACCCCAAGCTACCGGGACGAACACGCGTCTTGGATATAGCATGGGCCCACGTCCAAAGCCCACAGGGTCCAGGCCACGAATCAACCCCCCCGCATCCCGAAAGGCTTCGAACCCCTTTTTTCCTTTCGTCTCTTCTTAGATCAATGATGGAATGGCATGTCAGATATATCAGCCGGCCACTGACCTCACATTTATCTGCCGTACATCCGTGACGGCGTTCTGAGTCTTTGGGTTTCATACTTGCCTTGATCGTTACTTTCCCTACACCTCTTCGAACGGCTTAACGGTTGGTGGTTGATGGGTGATGTGGTCTTCACCAGAACCAGCTGTCGCATTCGAATCGACACTGTGACAGCGCTGGAATTCAGCTTGAACGGCCATGACGGGGCGTTGGGCTCATTTGAAGCTCAAGGTATTTGATCTCACGCCAATTGGGCGGAGGCAGGCTCCTACTCATCTCATTTGATTCGAAACTCGTTGATCAGCTCGTACTCGAAGCGATGAGCCTTTCATTTTGGTTCGACCTGCTATTCCAGGCAAAGTGGCTTGTCAGCTGAAATTCTGAATTGAGACTTCAGGGGGGGATGCTGTCGGGCTTCGATCACGAAATGGTGCTAGCGCCAAGAAAAGGACATTAGCGCCAACGATCGCTGCTTACCTCAATTACTTCATGCTCATGGGTCTTGCCAGTGGGATGACTGACTCGTACTTCATGGCTGGCCAGCAAAAGAAAGCTCTTTGGCGCAACAATATTTTATCAAAATCGAAGCATCTTGATGTCCAAGGCTGACAAAGAATGTTGACTTTAAAGCATGCGACTCTCTTGCTTGTGAGGCAATCGAAGCAATGCAACCAGAACTTCAAAAGGACACGGCTAATTGAAACGGAGAGCCCAACTGGAAGTTTGTTATGTGACTTGACATTTGAACCTGCGCCTCAATGCGAAGCCACACACGTGATATCGTCGCTGAACCACCTACTCAAAATATGGCCAATCTGAGGTCTCATGGCCAGCGGGAGCCAGGTTTTCCATGGAAACCACCTCACCTTGGGCGGGTAGAATGAGCTATGCTGCTCTCTGAGAGACCCGTTAAGGGTCAAGTAGGTTTCAGTGTTCGTATCGAGAAAGACATGCGCCAAATCTACGGTGGTGAAATCTAACCTATCGCGCATCAACTTGACACAGTCGCCAACATTTCTGGCGCGCAACTTTTTGCACACACGTCCTCGTTCTTGTCTCAGTTGGCGTCGTTGGACCAAAACTTCTCAACTGTCAAGGACTGAGGGCTGACCCCGCCCATCCGATGCCTGACGAGCCTGGGTCACGCTTCAGATGTATAGGACGTCAAGTTAAATCCACCCTTCGAGGTGGGCGCTCAAGCGTAAATGCCGAGATTTCTACAACTGCGCTTCTCGCACAACACAAATTCAAGCGGATGTGGGTCGATCACTTGACGCACGAGGTAATAGAGGCCAACGTCCTGTTCACGTGGCTCTGGCTGAAGTAGGAAGCAAGCTTGAGAAAGACATCACCCTTTGGCGTGTGGGGTTGGTTTCGACGAAGAAGATTCTCGTACTGTCAAGGAGACAATTCATGTGTACGAAGAATGGTTCTTCGAATATCTCGAATGCGTGTTTCAATTCTTGGAAGAGCTAAGGTACCCGTTTTGACGCCTTAAGCAGCCGTCAACATCCATGTGAGAGCCGACTTCAGGGGGCGTGCCAAACAATCTCTCAGCCTTCCTTCCAAAGCCGATGATAAAGGCTCATCTCAATAGAGCCAAGTAAATTTTTGCGGACGCGAGCCGACACAAATGCCCCCATATGCTGGCATCGCGTCAGTCCTCCTCCACCACATGTTGCTCTGCATCGGCATATCCCAGGATACGGCCGGTCCTTCAAGTATCAGGAACCAGGAAGTCCACCTCTCGTATGATGTATCTGCCAACGCAATCCAAACATCTAAGCAGAACAAGAAGGAGAAGGGGCATTGAAATAGGGACTCTGCTTCTTCGCGGCCTCGTCAATCTCATCCATGGTGGCTTGCAAGTTGTGCCCCATGGCAGTCGCCTCGTCGAGAAGCTTGATTCGGCCATAATCAAGCCTGATGCATTCCTGAATAACCTTGATTTCCCCGGTCCAATTCTGTAAGCCGACGTTGCCGAAGCTGCAGAACTTGCGGACCTGTTCCAGGTGCTGCTTCATCGAGTTGTTGCTGATCTCAGCGATCTTCTGGAACATGGCAATTCTCTCGGACAAGTCCTTAAGCATATCGACAGTCTTCTCGCGCGCCTCCTGGTTGGTTTGAAAGGCTGTGTTGAGGGTAGTGGCAGCGAAGTTGCGCGCGGCGTCCAGCTCGTCCGTCAAGTCGACGATCTCCAGCTGAGACTTCTCAGCGTCCTCGGCCTCCACATAAAGCGCGTCAGTCAGTAGCTGTGACTTCTCCTCGGCGGCTTCAAGCTTCTTCGTGAGTTCAGCGATCTCGTGCTTGTCGGCCTCGCGCTCTTCCATGAGCTTGACGATTTTCTGCTTGGACTCCTTGGCATCCTCGACCTCAGTCATCAAGTCGGCGTTTCTCTCCTTCAGCTCCTGAATCTTCTTTCCTGAATTCGAATTGATTTAGTGACGTTGTTTGGGTAGAACATTGTGAAGTCAGAAAGGATGACGTACCAGCCTGACGAGCAGTCTTGTTGCCGATCACGGTGGGAATGATCTCGAGGATGATCATGGCGCCAAAGGGGATCAAGATGGCGATCAAGACCGTCTGGAATACTTGCTTGAAGACGTGATACTCCATTATGAGTGACAGGTCTTATTGGTGATGAAGTTGCTTCGGTAATTCGGGCTTCCGTAGGGTTTGATATGATGATGGTCTTCTGATGCAAGAGTGTAGTGTATGGTTGGAGAAAAACAAATCCAGCAGGAAGGCGATGTTGACAGCTTGAGTAGCCCTTCTTCTTTGGTTCCTTCCTGAAAGATCGTGGGATAGGTAGGGTTTGATGCCAGCGGCAACATGTGATTCCATGTTTTCCAAAAGGCGGGTGCCACCGAGTGATGTGACTGTTCTGGCTGTGGAAGCCTCCGGAAGACAGCACAAGACCTCACGCTCTTCCGTTGTGTTTCCATGCGGGACACTAGAGCTCTTTCAAACTTTGGGTGTATGGGACAATAGGCAGACAAGCAACGATTGGCAATGATAAAGAGAAAGAGGTTTCAGGAGAGGTCTCGGTAAAGGATACATTTATTTATGATGGAGGAATTGTCTTCAAGAGCTACCCTCTGGTGGTCCATTGATTAGAATCTTCTAGACGAGCCCAGTATCGGTGTCGAGGAGATTTAGAAAAGTATCAGTAATTTCTTTGAAGATTTAGTGAAGACACGCCAACTTTCACCTTGGGAGCAAATGTTTGGACAGGTCGGCGTGTCTAGAAGATATCCAGGAGCTGTTACATGACCCATTAGGTTTAATTATGTTTTTCAATTCCCATTGAGAGAAACAAATGGTTCATCTAAGTAAGTAATATTGAGCAAAAACGGTCTGGATGTCTCAAGGACTTGTGGAACAAGTACTCGGTTCTCTTGATCGTAGCAAGGAATTGTAGGCATGTCTATGTCATGGTATTGCTTCTGTGCTGATTGATTCTATGATCGCTGTTTCTTGACGCTTTCCTGTGCTCAGTTCCCCCTTTCCGCCCTGAAGGTGACAGAATTATCAGAAGTACCTGTGAAGCATCATCTATTGCTCCAGCTCACGATTCTTGCGGTCCATGTCTTTAACCCTGTTGCTAGAGCCGGCAACCTCATCTGCCTTCTCGATGATCTTAGCACGTATCTTCCGGAGCTCCTCCAAACCCTTCTCAACATCCGCCTTCATATTCTCCACCTCGCCTTTTTTCTTTTCTAGGTCGGCCCTCATCTGCTTCACCTCCTCTTTACCCTTCTCAATCGCCTTTTCCTCTTGATCGATCCGTTCACCCTTGTGCACAAAAAGGCTCCAAGCATTTGTCTTAGCCTTTTCGTACTCGCGACGCTCGCGTAGAATTTCTTCGCGGAGACTCTCTTCCATCTTCAGAAAGACTTGATAGGCGACAAGGGCTTCCACACGGGTTTTCTCTGTTATCTTAGCTGATCAGCAACGACTCAATGACGGAATGAACGTTTGGTAGGATACATGCCGATGCGCCGCTCGAATAGGGTATCTCTGCACCAATTGGAGATGTCTTGGACGAGAAGAACGACGAGCATGGCTCCGCCGACGCTCGCCAGGAAATACCAAACTTCCTCAATCTCGTTGATTGTAGTGTCATTGCCCATGTTGGCTCGTCTTGGTTTCTCTCTGTACCTAGTGCTGGATTGGGGGCATCAGTCGAGGTTGCGGTGCAGTGGCTGATAGGTTTAGCAATGATCGTCACTGATAGCTTGATGATTAATAGAGGAGTTGAAGATGGGGGCGTGTAGTTGGAAGTGTTGGTGGAATTGTGGAGGACCAGGCGGAGTTTTCCCATCTTCAGGAAGACCTTGGTTCTTTCACTTTGGTAAGAACTTGTAGCTACGGAAAGCTCTGGGTGCAATGGTTTAGGCTCCTGCCTTCAAATGCAGTTTGACAATCCCAAGGTGGGGGGACGTAGATACAAGGGTACATCTGATCTCAGGCAGAAGAGGGAAGGACTGTCCGGTGATATCTTCAACAATAGGACCTTCCTTGATATTTCCTTCACAAAGCTGATGCTAGGCAAGGCATAAAATCCTTCCAATGGTGGCCCCTGACTGCAAGTCTAAATAAAGAGACAAGACAGTACAGCCCTCCCACAGGCAAGGTAGAAACAAACGCTGGGAGGGTTACAGACGAACTGTAAATGGCTATAGAATACCTCAGATGTAATGTCAATCTGTCCTGGATCAGCGTTCACATTCAGGGGTAGTCTCATTTAAAGTATAATATCCACCGCACTTCACTACTCTGCAGCACACGTATACGCCATGCCGAATACACACATCCGGATTTCCAGGGCCTAATAGAAACTAGTGCTATTGAAAGTAAACTGCCCTTCTTTGGTAATTCTAAAGGATACTATCTTAGCAAAGTTTTTGTTAGATATTGTGGCTGTTGGTGGTGGCGACACCACGACTAAGGTCATCACATTCATCATACCCTTGTGTGGTTTTTCAGATGGACATGTGTTTGGAAGAGTCCAGTTTTATAGACTACAAAGTATCGATAAATTATTACACCTATATCGATAGCAGTGCTAGAGAGTACGGGCTATGCTGTGGGCTGTGCTCGCTCGTGTATTCGGGGGGGGGGGGGGATGGAGACAACATTGCCATAAAGAACCGCCGATATGCATCTATGTTCACAATGACTTTTGCAAATGAAATGCAAAATACATATAAGCCCTTGTAATCAAATTTGCTTCTCTTGATTATACTGAAAACAATTTTACAGGCGTCATCTGGCTCTGCTCAGGACAGATCAGTCTCAAGAGATAGTTACCAATGACTCACTGATCCAAATCCGAGCTTCTCATTGGACAAGCTTGAAAACCGAGAGCTTTGCATGGGGAGAGGGGTCAGCTGGTAGTCCGTGGTATGGTAGAAACCACATGGGAACTATGACTTACAATTGACTTGTCTGGATTATCAGGAAAGTTTCCAAAACAAAGGTACCTAGGCTTGATACAATAAACACAGCGAAGCATTCTCCCGTTTTTAGACTCACTGTGCCCACTTTGTCTGATGGAGTAGTTTGCAAGCTCTGAAAATCAGTCGTAGGTAGCATGTGTGAGATGCCAGTTGCAAAGAACTAAGGAGGCTCGGACCGAAGCTGGGCTATGAGGCGGGAGAGTCGGACCCGAAGCCATGGTAACTCATCAACTGCTGCGAGAACCACCGACAATGCCGTTGACTACTCCGTACCAAGCATCCAATCTCCCGGGTCGGTGGGCGGGTGAGGTTCATCCGAGTCATGGGCCAAGCATGGATGCCAATTGGCGTTACCCAGCGATAGAAAGCTTAAATTTAGGGCTGTTTAGAATATATTACAGCAACTGTCCGTCGTTTTCGTCGCTTTTGGAGTCGGAGAGATCACTATTCTAGAAACATCCTCCGCAATCCGATAAATGCGTTGGCTGAGCCTCATGTCTTAGTGCACCTCGAGTGCCGTGGCTAAAGACTTGGGTAGTCGTGTGCTATTCGCAGGCTGGTTGATGCAGGAGTGACACTACACCAGCAAGCCTGAACAACGTCAGGTAATTCACAGACAACCCCCACACCACTGCCGGACGCAATCGCGTTCTCAGTCATAGTATATGGGCCCAGATCTAGACTCTTGAATCAGCCTTTGACTCCGTCATGAACTCAAAATAATTTCACGATAGCGGAGGCGGAGTCTATTGGGGCTGACGAACTCCCACCGGGAGTCCGGGAACACTGCCTATTCCTCGACCACGCCAAAAGAATGCAAATGTTCTGCTGCTGCGTGGCCCATCTTGGCGTAATAGCGCCATCTCGCACCAATTTTATACCTTAGGTAGGGGTGACCCATCATTATAGTTAATTGAGCTCCAGCACCACCAAAACGAGCTAGGCCACTTCGTGGGCAGGAAATTTCCAGGTGCCGTCCCTATTCTGCGAGTCAACGACTCCTGAATCCACGCTATGTGAGCAGACTCAGCAAAAGTTGCAAAAAAGTTTCTTAGAGAGTACCAAGACTTTCTTAATGTGTTGTTCCTGCTGACTCAAAGTGCCAAGATGGATCCATCTCCGTGGTATCATTATCTGCCTGAACCGGAGCCGATTGCGACAATGAAGCCATGTCCACACTGCATTCTATAAATCATCACCAGCGCCGTGCTCTCTCTCTGCCCGCAATATGCTAGAAGTAGTTGATTATACCTTTCTCTCTCACCCACATTCTTTTGTGTGATTCGCAAACCCAACTTTTACACTCTTTTTCAAAGTACATACAGAAACACATTCTTTTTCACAATGTTGGTCATCCCAACAATACTCTCCTGCCTCTCCCTGGCCCAGGCGGCCAACATCTTCGTTTCCCCCAAGGGCGTAGCGACCCCAGATGGCTCCCAAGCCAAGCCCTTCTCCGACATCCAAGCCGCCGTCAACATCTCCCAGCCGGGCGATGTCATCATCCTCCGCGGCGGCACCTATGACCTCCTGAAGAACATCAACATCACCGTCAACGGCACCGCCGCCGCTCCCATTACCCTGCACGCCGCCAAGGACGAGGAGGTCATCATCGACGGCGAGGGTCTGCCGGATACCCCCGCGCCCGTCGGCGCTTCCGTGCCGGGCCGGAACCGTGGTGTGCTCCACGTTGAGCGCGTTCAGTACTGGAACTTTGCGCGTCTTACCTTTACGCACGGCGCGTACGGTGTGTACGTGAAGGATTCGAGCAACTTGCGTTTTAACCAGATCGTTACTCGCGAGAACTACGAAAGCGGTTTCCACATGCAGGGTGCCCTGTCTAACAACGTAATCTCGTACCTGGATTCGTATGGTAACCGTGACCCGAGAAACAACGGCGAGAACGCCGATGGTCTTGCTATCAAGGAGGGCAAGGGCGAGGGCAACATTGTCGTTGGCAGCAGATTCTGGGACAACTCTGACGATGGTGTCGACTTCTGGTGCGTCTTTTGCTAGTTGCTGATGCTTTTTGATGCATAAGCTGACAGTATCGCAGGGAGTTCCACTCCAAGTTGACCATCAAGGACAGCATCGCGTGGGGCAACGGCTTCAACCGCTGGGTAAGTCAACATCAAACTCGAAGCCAATCCTCACTACACCGTTCTAATAAACCACCCTAGGACATCCCCGACTTCACCGGCAACGGCAACGGCTTCAAGCTAGGCGGCGGCAGCGCAGGCGACATCCTCCCCGCCGCCCGCGACGTCATCAACTGCATCGCCTTCGGCAACAAGGCCAACGGCTTCACCGACAACTCCCAGACGGGCGCCTTCGCCATCGAGGACAACACCTCGTGGATGAACGGCAAGACGGGCTTCCGCAGCGTCAACGCCACGGGCGTCCTCAAGCGCAACGTCGCCGCCCTCAACAACCCCGAGGCCCTCGCCAACGCCACCTACTTTGGCCAGGCGACGCTGCGGGAGCGCCAGACGTCCATCGGCAACTCGTGGGATGTTTTGGGCGCGGCTGCGCTGACGAACGCGAGCTTCAAGAGCGTCGATATCAGCCTCGTTTCTGGCGCGCGCGGCAAGAATGGAAAGATTGTGCCGAGCGACTTTTTGGTGCTTGCTGATGGGTCCAAGATGGGTGCTACCACCAACTGGAAATAAGCAGAGCTTGATGTAGATAGGCTTTCTTCTATTTAAGCGGACTCAGTTCGTTCAAGAGTTGCGGTGGCTTTCGTGACTCTAAGGAAACCAAAATTTTAAGCTGACGTATCTCTACTTCGCGCAAGCTTGAATGGAATGGAGGTCGTCTTCGTGCTAATCAGTCTACCTTATAGACCGACCGGGTTAAACTCTGCCGTCCTCCTTTTGTGAATTTGTATGTGTGAAGCCGTTTGGCTGAGCAGTATGACTGTGGACTGTGAAGACCATCCCGCCTTAACACTTACTCGCTAGTCCACCGCGATTCCATCGGTAACAGATAACGTCAGTCAGTACGCCTTCGATTTTATCCAAGGCTCATTCTGTTTCAAAATTTTCGATCATGGTGCATCGTGAGGAAATCGGATGATGATAGTGTGATTGATGAGGATCAAAACGCCGTTTGTTGATGCTCTGAGTGGCGATACTGGCGATGCATCGAGGTCATTCAACAGTCTAAAGGATGGGATGCCATCATATTTACTAGAATGTGTGCATACCAGTCAGCCCTGAACTTTGTTGCACGTAGTCAAGATCTCTTGATGGGCGTTCTATTCCTAGTGGCCAAGCTAGAAAGCCTCACAACTTAGCCTTCATCTTGCGCCAGACTCACGACCCATCCGCGAGGTGTGGCACACATCTCCGCTACCATCCCCACAGCAAGCGCTGTTGAGCCGACACGTCGGCCGTGTAGCGGGGGCCGGGACACGGGGCGGACCACGGGGGACAAATAAGAAAGCACGTTGCTCTCCGCTCCGGAATCGGAAGTCGAATGGAAAAAACAGGGTAATGACGGAAAGAAAGTGGGATGCGAGCCTGATTTTGAGCGTGGGATGTCACCCAGGCGCCACAGAAATAGAGGCGAAGGGAAGATGCTTGATACGGCTGTTGGAAATAGGGGTGTGCGTGACGTAATGAGCATGTCAAGCTCGGCACTCCCCTGTCAAGCAAAGTCTCCGGGCGTCGTGATCAATGTGCGAGGTGCGAGGTGTGAGGTGATGTGATCATGCGCGTCATGTCACGATCTCACCTTAGCTTATCTGCACCTTAAACTTTCTCCTAACGCACTCTTGATCCATTTGAAGCAGCTTACCGACAGATTGGATTGAAGAGATCAATACCTAGATACAACTCCATCGTAAACCTCCCTTTCGTCCAATACAGCGTCTCACTTATTATCGAAGAACCTCATATAATGAAGTGCATCGGCATCTTCCCCGGCTCAGGAGGCCTAGGCGGCAGCACCTACGATTACCTCTTGAAACTTCTTCCCAGCGACCACATCATCCTCATCAACCGTCACCCGGAACGAGTACCTCAAGAACACATCAAGAACGGCCTCCGCGCACGCAAGGCGTCATACGAGTCGAGCCTTTCTGATCTCGAGGCTGCGTTTGCCGGTATCGAGGTGCTCTTCCTCATTTCCTATCCAAGTCATGTGCACGAGTACCGCAAAAAGGTGAGAAGCAAAGAGCTCAAGTTGGGCTGGTCTCATCCCCAAGTCGGGTGGCCTGACAAGATTCACAGGTGCAACTACCAGTCGTCAACGCAGCTCGTCGCGCAGGCGTGAAACACCTCTTTTACAGCTCCCTAGCCTTCGGCGGCGACTTGCAAGATGAATCTGTAGCGGAGGTAATGCAGGCCCACCTCTCGACGGAGCGCCACCTAGCCTCCGTCGCGGCCTCGGACCCCAGCTTCACCTACACATCCATCCGCGAGGGTCTCTACTCGGAGTCGTACCCAATCTACACCTCTTTCTTCGACATCAACTCTCCCTCCTCCTCGAACGAGATCCTCATTCCGCATGACGGCGCCGGTCCGGGCGTGGCGTGGGCGAAGCGCAGCGAGTTGGGGGAGGCGACGGCGAAACTTATCGCGCAGTATTCCTGGGACCCGGAGCAATTCCCTCACGTCAATAAAAAAGTCTTGCTTACCGGTTCGCGGGTCTGGTCTCTTGAGGAGACGGTGAGGGTGCTTAGGCGGGCTGTCGGGAGGGACGTGAGGATCCGCGAGGTGAGCGTGGATGAGTACGTGAAGTTGCCGCAGGTTTTGGCGAAGTTCGGGTCGGTGGAGAAGGCGAGGACGTGGGCGACGGCGTGGGAGGCGATTCGGGCGGGGGAGACTTCTGTTGTGTCGGAGACGTTGAGGGAGATTATCGGGCGGGACCCGGAGGAGTTTGATGTCACGATACAGAGGTTGAAGCAAGCATGAGGGCATAGTCTGGAGGCACTTTCTCGATGATTTAGGTGGGAGTGTAGATGCGAATGGCTTCGTGGGCGTAGTGGGCTACAGTAGTTGGTCGGTCACTGCCCAACATCAACTTTGGGATTGACATGGCCATAGGACGGAAGGACTCGCGCGCAGGACTTTGGACGAACATTTCGTTGCGGTACTTGGTCGAGCCAAGTCCAGATCAGGTGGCTGTCGAACAGAACGATGACTGAGGAAAGAGGCCGAGAGCGAAAAAGAGTTGGCTCTGGACTTGAAGGGGAGAGAAGCAAAGGGAGAGAGGGACAAGAAGAAGGAAGAGAGGAGAGGGCGTATTGCCCGGCTGATCTCCGACCAGTTTGCCCTTCATGAGCCAGCTAGCCCTCGAATCTCTCAACAATGGGCGATTGGTTTAGTGGTATAATGACCGCTTAGCATGCGGTAGGTCCTGGGTTCGATTCCCAGATCGTCCAATGTTTTTGACTCGCAGCTCTATCCTTGGGTTTTTATTTTTGGTACTGCCCTCATCAGCGGTCGCATCGTGTGCTTGCTTTGCCTTGTTGTGTACTCCGTAGTTGCATTAGAATTGATGGAACATGAATATTTGTATACGCAGGTAGTTGACAATGATTAGGTACATGTACCGTAGTGTGCATCTTCGTTACTGTACATAGCTTAGGTACGCAAGGTAAGATGACAATGGGCTCAACAACACCATTGAGAGAGCGTCGTCGAAATAACACTTTTTAGAAAACTCTGTGACGCACTGAGGATTCTTTGTTTATGAGGAGACGGCCACCGAAGCCATTCTGGCTGTTCAGTCGCGATTGCTATGGAAGTCACTGATGAGAAGAGTGCCTTTGTTTATGAATGATCGGCAGTCTCTGCCCAAAGCTGTCTGCAGCCTGGACTAGCGCCAGGGCAGCTATCGTCGACAATGCGGCCGTGGTTTCCCTGGGAATTCCCAAGCTTTTCGTATACCTCAGATTCAGGACATCAAGTACGTCGTTTCTTGTCAATTCAATACCATAGTGTCCGTACTTCACTCTATTCAACTATGCGGACACCTCCGTCACTGATGGGAATGATGCTGGAGTGCTCCAGATGAACTCGTATTGACGCTGGGATAAGCAGGCGGGGGATCGTATTAGCGCCCCATCCACCAAATAAGCGTTTTAAACTTAAACCGGCACCCAAATGATGTGCTGATAAGGATGAGAAGAATGCCGTGCTGTGCCGTTCCCCCGAACCAAGAGATGCAGCTGAAGACATTCTTACATACCTCCCCTTCCGGTCTAGAACTCGGACGATTCTTCCTCCAAGACACACGGCGCAACTAGCCCGTAGCCTATCTCAATCAAGCTCTTGTTGCAGGAAACGGGCTCATGCAACCCAGCAGGCCTCAAAGTCCAGCTTTGCGTGCTTTGCCCAACCCCCAACCGATCGCCAAAGTACCCTTGAATCCTTACCGCCGCGCTACCCCGGTTCCGGCAGGTCGGTTGCCCGCAGTCCGGCACTTGACCTCCTGGATCTGTCCAAGACTCCAAGTCTCTGAGGAAGCTCGCGGGGGCCACGGACAGCCAGGCACTGCGGTGTTGTTTGCTTGGGTCGCATCGGGGTCCACCACCAGTCCTACCAGCCCAATTTATCTAGGTCTTTATTCCACTTGCTTAATCAAGTCTTCAAGGCCGACCAGACGATGCAAAAGGTCCATCAAGCGCGCTTCTTCAAAGTTTGTGGTCTGCTATTCGGATTCGCCATGCCGCTCTTCCCGTCAACTAATGCCTCTATGAAGCGTGTAGAACCTGCCCGTGTAAGCAGCCGCCTCCCAATCCAAGGGTTGCGTGCTCGTCTGATGATGCAAGATACCCCTGGCCAAGATAGACACGCCCAGCCACAGTCGAATGCTTCTCTCCAGGCTTCCAACCTTCCTTCTCCAGGTCCCAGTCCCCTCGCATTCCCCTCCGCTTTCCTCCACCCGTCTTCCAAGCCTGTGATCTGTGCGCCATAAACGCAGAATCACCAGCCAGTCGTGTCGGTAGCCGTGGATCTTCACTCCCGTTTACCTTCCCCCCTGAGCGCGGAGAAGCGAGCTTGGGGTAGCACCACCTCCAACTTTGAAGATACCACCTGCATGTTCCCTCCCCCTCTTACAGCAGAGGCGGGGACTTTTGTCTGCAGCTTGTTGCCGCATCTCGTTCTTGCGTTGATCAGGCAGGTCTCTCAACCAACAATCCATCAGCTAGAGAAAGTAGGCAACATTATCGGCGTCAAGAAATCGAACAAAGTCAAATGAGAAAAGGGCACAGACAGGGCAGACAGGGCGAACTTGAGATACCAAGATACTTTTCTCTCGAGGCGGGCCGCAATGGCCCAAACGGGAAGGTTGTAAGAGCTGCCCAGGCGATCCCCGACGGTCCGATCCTCGTCATTCATCCTGTTCCTGTTTCCCGTTGGCTCTGCCGTCGAAAAGTGTCCATCTCAGGCCTGGAAACTATGTTTTTCTGCTTTCCCCTCTTATCCTCAATCCCTGGTAGTAGTGGTTGGACACGACTCTCCTCGTACCTCGTAACACCGTACATAAAGGAGAGCACACCCGTGCGATCCTCAATCTTGGCGATGCCTTCTCTCGTGCACCCTCGCTGAACTCATTACGCGCGGTCGCCATACACTCACTCCCGGCCAAGCTCCTCCTCTCCCTCAAGAGTTCTCTTTCTCGTCGTTGAAAGTAACATACCACCGCAACGATGAAGTCCCTCGCCGCCCTCTCCACCCTCGTCGCCGCCGCGACCGCCGCCTCAGTCGTCGGCGCGAGCTCCAAGCGCGTGAGCTACGACGGCACCAAGGTCTTCCGCCTCTCTGTCGGAGACGAGGTCGACAGGGTCAATGGCGTCGTCGACAAGCTCCAGCTGACGACCTGGAAGGGCGCCCCGAGAGCCGGTGCCTTCGCCGACATCGTCGTTCCAGCCACCGAGGTCGAATCGTTCAAGGCTGAGGTTGCCGGCATGAACCTTACCACCATGCACGAGGATCTCGGCGCCTCAATCGCAGATGAGTCTGGCTTCTCTGTCTACGCTGGTAAGTCTCGACACCTCTCCAAGGCTGAATGCCTCTCCACCTACGCCACACGGCCATCCCACGCGGATGCAATCTCGCAATATGCCAAAGTTCGTCAACTAACTTTTCTCTCAGTCGGCTCCGCCAACGCGACCTGGTTCAACTCGTACCACGCGTACGCCGACCACCTTCAGTTCCTCAAGGACCTGGTCTCCTCGTACCCCAGCAACGCCGAGATCGTCACCTCGGGCTCCTCCCTCCAGGGCAACGCCATCACTGGCATCCACATCTACGGCACCTCCAAGGGTACCAAGCCCGCCGTGGTCTTCCACAGCACCGTCCACGCCAGAGAGTGGATCAGCACCATGGCCAACGAGTACATTGCCTGGAACCTCCTGAGCAAGTACTCCTCCGACACGGAGATCAAGAGCTTCGTCGACAAGTACGACTTCTACATCTTCCCCGTTGTCAACCCTGACGGTAAGTCCTCATTCCCGCTCAATATATCACGTCAGTGAACCCTCTCGCTAACTGTCTTCATCAAGGCTTCATCTACACCCAAACCACCAACCGTCTCTGGCGCAAGAACCGTCAGAGCACCTCCGGCAGCACCTGCATCGGCCACGACATCAACCGCAACTGGCCCTTCCAATGGTCCGTCACCGGCGGTGCCTCCACCGACCCCTGCGCCGAGGACTTCAAGGGCCTCTCCCAGGGCGACGCCCCCGAGACCGCCGCTCTCTCCGCCTGGCTCGCAAAGACCAAGTCCGCCCAGGGCCTCAAGCTCTTCATCGACTTCCACGCCTACTCCCAGCTCTTCATGACCCCCTACGGCTACTCCTGCACCGCCGTCTCCGCCAAGAACACTGAGCTCCAGTCCCTTGCCAAGGGTGCCGTCGCCGCCATCAAGGCTGTCCACGGTACTTCGTACCAGTACGGTCCCATCTGCACCACCATCTACAAGGCGACCGGCAGCAGTGTCGACTACGTCAACGATGTTGTCAAGGCCGATTACACCTTCACTCAGGAGCTTCGTGACACGGGTAACTACGGCTTCGTCTTGCCTGCTGCCCAGATTGTGCCTACCAGCGAGGAGACCTACGCTGGTGTCCGCTACTTGCTCCAGAACATGAAGTAAATGGCGTTCGGGTATAACTTTCGGACAGTTTTTCATATGAGAACAGAAGCCTGATGACACCCCCTTTCATGTATCTAGTTTAACCAACCCTTTCTGTAAGTATTCCTTCAGAACATGAACAAATAAACAATCTGTACACATCAACTTTCCGTCGCAAACGTGGACATGTGTTCTCAAACTTGTTCGCAAGCCAATCGTGTGTTTCGTTTCCTGCAAGCCTTGGCCTATTAAACATAAGAACATCCGTCCAAGCACGGCCCGTCGGCACGCTGATACGTCCTCGGTGCCATGGAACCATCAAACTTCAGACGACTTCTCGGCTGCATGTGCAAGCAAAGGTGGCCAAGCACAAGTTCTCCGCCGATGTCGTATGAGTTCCTGGGCGTTCCTGGATAGGAGGGGAAGAGGGCCCGAGCCAAGGATCTTCCTACCTTATTTTCCTCTTTGTGCCGTCATGTTCTTTCAGCAGTCGTGCTCGTGCCCCGGATTACTTCATTCTTGTCTCAGAAGTTCCTTTGTCACTTTCAAGACTCCCTATACCAAAAGCGGCTTTCGAGAAGAAGACAATTTCAACGCTCTATTCAAAGAAACACCAAATAACCTCATGAAGGATACAACTGAAAAACAACACAAATAACTTACACTCAATGCGTCGACTCTTAAGTCTATCGGCGCTGCTAGCAGCCCTAGCAATCCCGCTCTCTACCTTCGCCGAGCTCACTCGCCGCGAGCTCCAACCTCTCCCGCTCTCCGTCCGTGGCCGTGACATCGTCGATGCCCGCAACGCAACGGTCGCCCTCGTTGGCGT